GCCTATAGTCAGTTTTGTGGTAAGATGTACATACACTAAAATTCTTCTACAAATACAGTCCTGATAATGGATTGTAAGGTTTTGTTAGAAATGCAATCTTTAACTGTTGATTACACTCTATAATTTTATCTTTAGACAATGAGCATGGTGTCAGGATTTGCCCCTCTGGTAACTGCAGGGATTTTTGGTGCCACGTTATCATCCGCTCTGGCTTGTCTGGTCTCAGCACCAAAGGTGTTCCAGGTATGGCTACTGATGGCAGGAAGATAAACCTGCATGTGTTACATATAATTCAGAGCAACTATGAACGTGTGCATAAAAATGTATCAGTAGAACAATCCTAAGGCTTAGTCCTGTAGTACTAACATAAAGTTGTATCATAGCAGCAATCAACAATAACTTTTCATTTGACTACATTTCCTTTAATTACCTATTGTTCTATTTTCATGGAACTGATTAGTGCTCAAACCTCCCATCTATTGCAATTGATTTCTGAAGAATATCACTCTTTTATCAAAATGATTGTTATATCCCTTTTTTGTATTATACAGGATCATATTGCTTATAAAACTCTAAGCTTTTGCTGAGAGATGTTTTCCTGATTTTTGTAAGCAATGCTTTGTTCTGCTGTGAAAATAACTTTTTTTAGTTTTGGATAGAGTACGGGAGGGTTATAACCCCTGTGAGTTTTTTTTGCTGTGTCCCATTGGGGAGATTCTCTGAGGACACAGACAGCAATAAAAATCTGAGAGGACTTCTAATCCCCTCCACTCTAGCCAAAACTAAAAGAAAGACAGAAAGTTTTGGCTTTGGTTGCACTTCAATAAAGAGTATAGCTGTATAGAAAATATTATAATATTGAACAATCGTATTGTTATGTCTGTGGCCAGCATTAGTCAGTCTAACTTATCAGCACTGATAACAGTCATTGGCTGTACAAATCAAATTGTTCACAATGCGGGCACATTGATGTGACTAGGCGAAATGTGCAAAAACGCAGCAAAGGCACGTTTTTGAACATTTCCAGTGACGTCTAAAAAAAAGCCTCCTCATGTATCCCTTCCCCCTCCCATTTAGACTGTAAGCCCTCATGGGCAGGGCCCTCCTTACCATCTTGTCTTGAATTGTATTGTGATTGTAATGTCTTCCTTATATTGTAAAGCGCTGCACAAACTGTTGGCGCTATATAAATCCTGTATAATAATCATAATAATAAGTCTATGGGGCCAAGAAGTGCAGAATCTGCCAAAAAGAAGCTTGTGTACTTAATTTTTTCAAGCGACAGCATTTTGCATCAAGCAACAAGACGCTCAGGTGTGAACATGGCCATAAAATGGGGGTTTTTTTCGGGCAGAAAAAGTGTTACAAAACGCTCAGTGTGAACAAGGGCTAAAAGCAGAAGACACTCGCAGATCTCAGACCTTGCCAGGTCCAAATGCATGCAATTAAATTCAAGAAAACAAACAAACATGGTGTTCTCTGTTCAGCTGCAGGTTTATTGTGTAAATCAGATGCACAATGTAACCGATATCAAGAAGGAAAGCCTGTACGTGTTTCACATGAAAAAGCTTATTCTCAAACACATTGCCATGACTGACCACCAGTGGGAAAAGACTCAACTGTAAACAATTAGATTTAGAGATGTCCTTGCATGTTACCTGGAAGATGCATCAACCCGAATGGTAACACACCTAGTAGAAACCCTTACATTTGTTACCCTGTTACCAACATCTACCACTCCCAGCAGAACCCAGCATGATCACTTCCACCACCTGCCATTTGCACATTTCTCTTGGTCACTTTATGGCATCATGTCTATATAACAGAGATAATAATTCCTTCATGTCATAGTCCTCTACTTACATGTGTTAACGTCGGTTTGTCCAGAGCAGTCATCCGTTTCTCTGTTTCTGCACAGTGCCTCTGTAAGGACAACCTCTACCCACTGATTGGATTTTTTGGGCAAGGCTATGGGAAGAACAATGAACCTATCCGTGGATATCTGCTCACCTTCCTCATTGCATCTGCATTTATCCTCATTGGTGGGTCAAAAATCTTTTTAAAAAAACTTTTAATACTATTAGTATTTTGGTTTGAATCCCAATGTCACAATTTAGTTTTTTTCTGAAATAAAACTTCTAGTGAGAATTATTATTTTGGTTAGGAAGTAATGGGAATAGGCTGAGAGTAGACATTTTACACTCTCAATCCATCCACTTGAATCATGATTCATAGGGGGTGATTTACTAACCTAAACACACGCACGCACCAGGTGCGTGTGATTTTCACACAGCAAAACGTATTTATCAACCAAAAAGTCTCTAAAAGCATATTTCCACTAATGCCATATGTGGAAAAATCATGCACATGATGCATATATAATGCTGCTTCACAGTTTAGACAAAAATTGTTAGCTCATGCATTTACATTCCTGCATTCATCAACGCAAGCAACACAACGTAGAGCTAATTTACACAACATCACCTTGCAATTCATGCAGGGCTTTGCACAACACACCTGCTGGGTGTGTACACACTACAAAGGTGTTTAGATTCCACCCATAGATCATGCTGGGAGGGAACACACTACAGAGGTGTATACATGTTCGTGGTGTGTTTATAAGTTTAGTAAATCAACCCCATAGTGTCTTTGTATAATTCCATGAGAGCATAGTGTGTGCCTGTCTATCTATCAAGTTTTCTGATCATGAAGGACCTTATGTTTCATTGTGTTCTTACTAAGAACCGGGGTTGTTTCTCTTCACCAATAAGCATCAGACTTGCCCAGGAAGACTAACGTTAACCACACTCTATACAATCTGATTATACAATCTACTTTAGATCTACCATCAGCTATGCCTGCCTGAGTTGATACTAATTGAATGGACTGTTTGTCCTCATGCCACATAGGCTTTGTGCTTGTGGCTGTCTCTGATTGTTGTTGGCACTATATAAGCTTTGTGTCTAATGTTAGTGCATCACTCTGCCTTGAGAAAGAGACTCGAGGTCCCAAAGCATCGGCCTGTAATGCTGGAGGCTGTATGTGAATAAAAGATCAGATTATTACTATACTAAGGTGTGCTGGTTGCTGGTGGGGATTGGTATTTTCCTACATTTGCCAACCACACAGTCTTGTTAACTAAACAACTTGATTTTCTATTCTTCAAATAATGTCAATGGATGTTAATTCTTCAATACAAGAACCAGGTCTCAATAACACTGGCATATATAATGTAACAACCATTACAGCTCCGGGGCCCAGTCTGAGTTTGACTTATGCCATTTAGCAATGAACTTTATTCAAGGAGAACTATGAGGTGAGTGAAAATCACTCATCCTCATAGTTCGAGCCAACGTGTGACAATGAAACTGTCACACATCGGCTCAATAGATCAGGAAGTGAGCGAACGCATACCGTCGCTCGCTCACTTCTCAATAATCTCCCTGCAGACAGCCGTGACTGTCAGTCACCGCTCCCCCCAGGGATATCCCCCCCCCCCCGCTCCGATCCTTCAGCGCTGACTGGCGGAAACGGACGGGGGAGGGGGCGAGCACAGCTGACTGCCTCTAGATAGGCAGAGCCAGGTGTCACTCACGCAGCTGGGTGCATCTCGACAGTTTTGTCTAGTTCCGTCCCGGCTGTGGTGGTCTCAGTATACCGCGAGCTGTAGCTCAGGATATACTGAGCTTTGGGTCATGGGAGGAGGCTAGTATATGTCCTCCCTTGACCCTTAGGAGAACTGTGGGGAAAAACACTTACCCCATAGTTCTCTTTTAAAGGTTTGATATTGATTCCGATAGATCACCCACCATGTCTGCTACTGTAATCTCACCATCCCATAAATTAGCCTTAAAACCCTTATTTACATCCACCCCATTGATGAATGTACAAGGCAAATGTCAGTGTATAGCCAGAGCATGCAGACTCTTTTATTAACTCTTTTTAAATACACCTCTGAGATTTCTTTGTAGGACACCAGACCTGTTAATGATACCTGGTAAGAACTTAATTAAACTTTGTTCTCAGTTGTTAATTGAAAGGTAGAATTTTAACAATAATTTTCCTGTTTTTTTATACTCATGTATTTTTTCCAAGCTATCAGTGCACAATTCCCTGTTTGCTTCTGATCTGATCTTCTATGGACAAAACAATAATTATATTTTACTATCATTTTGTCTTCTGCAGGTGAACTAAACACCATTGCACCAATCATCTCTAATTTCTTCCTGTGTTCATATGCCTTGATTAATTTTAGCTGTTTTCATGCATCTATAACTAATTCACCAGGTAAGTAGGCCATTTTAATGTGAACCTTTTATCCAATCACAACAAGATAAAACCTATACTGGAACAGGCATCCTCCTAAACTCCTGATTTCATATAGGTTGCCATTATGTAGGCGGATATTAATATACTGTACAGTATTCAGGTTGAAAATAGCCCTGTTAGCGACACAGTAAATGCTTAATGTGTTTCTCTAAACCAGGGGTAGCCAAACATCAGCTGCTGAGGAACTACAAGTTCCATAAGGCATTGCAAGGCTCTGACAGCCACAGGCATGACTTCCAGCGGCAATGATGGGATTTGAGGTTTCACCACAACTAGAGGGCCGCAATTTGGCTACCTCTGCTCTAAACCATTATAAGGAATCACCATGAAGAGAACTGCTCTGATTGATCATATGAAGCTCACTATCGCAGTACGTGCAACAACATCTCATACGTCATCCTTAAAAGTGGAGGTGATGCTTGGAAGGAGGAAGTGTGAACTTCTTTATGCAGGAACTAATTTAGAATTAAGCAAAACATACATCAGGTACATAGACAAAAAGGTACACGTATAATGTGGCCTACAGGATCTAATACATACCATCATCGGCAGAGGTTATAAATATTGCTAATAACGACAGCAAAGGAAACCTAAGTGGTATGCATCCAATGATAGGCTGCAACAGAATGTACCAGAACAATGTGGAATACAAGGAGAGACAGAGGGGAGGAGAAACGAACCTATAGACGCAAGACAAGACAATACATCAAAGACACCAGGAAAGGGCAAGGAAGGAATATACACTGAGTGGCCAGATTATTATGACCACCCCATCAGTACTTCGTTGGGCCACGAGATGACTCCACGAGATGACTTTGTTGGGCCGCCTCGTGACTCCACGAGATGTTGAAAGGTGATGCGAGGAATCTGGCACTGCACTGTTGCCCTTCTGTTGTCTTGTACCAGTCTTGCCACTCTCTGTTCTGCCCTAACATTGACTAGTCGCTAACGGTCACAATTCGCACATTCAGACCCAGATTTTCGGCTGACAGTCCAGTCTTTAAACACTTTAACAGCTGCTCTTGAACATTTAACGAATTCTGCTGTTTTGCTGATACTCGCTCCATGGCTCCGAGCGCCAACAATCATCCCACATTCAAAGGCTGTTAAATCGCGTTGTTTACCCGTATCTTCAGAAAAAAATAACTTCTACTGTCGTGGTAAACAACCTGCTTACCTATTTATAATGGTCAGGCCCTCTAGCAACTTCAGCGCCAAATTATAGCTAATTTGCCTACAAACGTCAGGTGGTCATAATAATCTGGCCACTCAGTGTAGATCCGGGGAGCTATTGGGAAGTAAGGGCTATGGACAATGAGTCGTAGAAAGAGCATGTGAAAGGCATAAGGGCAGCAGTGGCATGAAAGAGCTTACACGTTGACAGTGATCAATAGTTCTGAAAAAACATCAGAATCCTGAAAGTGGATCCAGGATCGCCACACCTGTTGGAAAGATTCATAACAGTCAGTATCCACATCGATCATTTCTTTCCATACGCATAATATCGTTTAGCCTATTCAACCACGCGAGCATAGGGGGGGGGTTCGAGTGGTCTTCCAGTGTCCCGCAATGACCTGTCTGGCCGCAAAGAGGAAAAACCTCAACGCAGATTCCTTAGCTTTCCGCAGGAACTAGTTTTGAGGGAAAGCGTATAAACGGAATGTGTGCTGTAAGTTGCAGTTATATATTCACTTGATTGTGAACCTCAATTTTTTGACAATGAGGAAATTGGCAGCTTGCAGGGCTTGCATAAAATAGAGTGTTGTAATTTGTATTTGTTAACATTTTATACATGAATGATGAAGCAGATAATTATATACCTGATGTGTCTTATGAAAGTGTTATGCTTCGCTAGAGTCTAAATCCAAAAATAAAAATGTATTGCAGAATACCAGTCCTTTGATGTGGTACGGCATTAGGTTTCTTTTTTCCTTTATTTTCACCTGGTGATTCTGCCAGTAACAGACTTGCAGTCTAAAAGGTGCCCATACACTCGACGATCATTGTACGATAATCGCGGGTGATCCCGCGATCATACGATAATCATTAGGTTGATAGGCAGCTTGCGACTGCATTTACTGTACGGTGGCACAATTTTTGGAAAACGAGCACGCTAGAAAACCAGCTGAAAATCGTACGATTTTCGGCGGGTTGGTAGCGCAATCACAAGACGAAAGCCGCACAGCCCGAGGTGCGTAAGCGCACACTGCCCGCTTACCATTGCAATCATCTGCAAGCCCTCCCCTCAGCGGGGAGGGCTTGTGATGTTTTCAAGTACAATCTGCCTGTACATGATGGGCAGGTCGTACGAACTTTTAATCACCTTACAACCATCGCACAACGAAAGTCGTGCGATGGTTGCAAGGTGTATGGCCAGCTTTAGGATAACAATGCTCACTCACCCTTTTGTATCAGGATAACAGAAATAATATAGCACTACAGAACCATACTCCTCTCCTATGCTTCCTAACATAAACGAGAGTGGTTCTGTAGTCCTCAGAGGTAGCAAAGAACGATGTAGCTGATATCATTCACCACAGGCAGGCAGCCCAGGAAGTTATCAGAAGATTTCTAGAAAGATCAACAGGTATTTTTTGCACTTATCGAACAAATATACTGTACTGTATTTAAAGGCTTTCAATGGTATCTTTAACAGAACAAAAAGGACACAATTAGAAGAAGAACTGAACTCAAAAAGTGAATGCTCGTTATGTTTTAGGGAAGTGTTAATTGTGGCTAAGCTGTACTCTGAAAAATGCACCTTTTGTATGGAATTCCTCTTAAAAAAAGCAGTGCACTTCCTGGTATGTGAGTGTACCCAGACAATCCTGTACCTACAGCCTCATAGCTGTATATCTGCAGCGTGAGATCTCAGGCACTGCTGCCTCTCACTGCTAGTCTCCTGCGATTTGGTGATTTCCCTAGTGAGCTGTTCACTGTTCTCTTTGCTGGAGGCTCTGACATGAAGAAACAAAGCCCTGCCTCTTCCAAGATGGCCGCCTCTACAGAGACACAGTGCAGAACAATGCATTGTAATTCAGTAATGGGGAAAGATCAGCTGCAGGGAGACAGCAGGCAATACTGCACATTAGTCCTTTGTCATATGCTTGCCTGTTTTGAGCCCAACTTCCAGCGATCATTTATTCTTTAACTATACATTACAAATCAGCTTTTAATTTTCATATTTTACATGCTGGATCTGTTTCATGTGTATCTTTCAGTACAGTATAAACATTACATTTGATCTTTTATATATATATAATGCTGTTTCCCTGCCAGGCTGGAGACCGTCATTTAAATATTACAGTAAATGGGCATCACTGTTTGGAGCGGTAGCATCTGTGGTTATCATGTTCCTGTTGGCTTGGGAGTGTGCCCTGATCGCTATTGGTATAGTCATCTTTCTGCTGGCCTACGTCTTGTACAAGAAGCCTGGTATGTACACAATGGGTTATCTGCCCTTCTGCTCTCCTTGTCCCCTTTGGAGAAGAGGGATGTGGCACAGTGTTCATATAGTTATAAGTACTTCCAATATAAATGATAAGCTATAACAAATGAGTCACTGTACAATGTCTGAATGTAGCTTGCCGTGTGTTAAAAGTTGAGGTGACTCTGTCAAAAAATGAAAAGTGAGAAAAAAGGTTCCCCTGTAAAGAACAGATGATATACTTACCTGTCCTGATGCCTAGACTGCTAATCTTTGCTCTTTTCTACAGCGACGATGCTCAGAGAATCCTTTGTATCCAACACATTTCCTAGGGTGAGGATTCCTGGTCCACTGAGGAGCACTGTGGTTCCTGCTGCCGGTCCCTACGTCACTGCAAGACACAATAGCGGCATAGGGCTGGCAGGAGGAACCACCGAGTGAAGAGGCATCTGCCACTCTTGGAAGTGTGTCAGATGAAGAGGTTTCGCCAGGCACTTCTAGAGAGTGAACATTGGCGGCACACAAGGAGGGACAGTTAGGTGTAACATATTTTCATTACAGGGGAACCTTTTATTATCATTATCAATTTTGTGACAGAGACTGTATTTAATTATGGAGCCGAATCCCCTATTGAATGAGAGCCTAAAAATTAAATCCAAAGAGTAATTAAAGTATGTACTGTATATATAGCCAGTGTATAATTTAATTTACTTTTATAGTGTTTATTCCAAAATGTATAGCCAAAACAAATCTTTTAGTTTCTGGGAATGGTTAAAACCCATCAGGCTTGTTTGCTGTCTGTCTGACACTGAAGGGGGATACAGGAAGTGAGAGGAAATCCCCTCTTAGACAAGTGTCACTGCAACAGATTTCCTCGGTGTAAAATTCCCCTATTCTGGTGGCAGACTTCACATTTTGGATTACTGGCTGTCTTGTGACAATGTAATAAAGTCACCGGCACTCCAAATAATCAAGTCAATAAGTTTATTGACCCAAGTGATAACACCTCTAGCAATGTTTCGGGACCATGCGGCCCCTTCCTCAGGCAAACAGAGGAAGGGGCCGCATGGTCCCGAAACATTGCTAGAGGTGTTATTACTTGGATCAATAAACTTATTGACTTGATTATTTGGGGTGCCGGTGACTTTATTATTTTTTTGTACGTTTTGACGGAGGCATCCGTTGTTGCTGCTGCACCCGCCCTGCTACATTGGGCATTCTCTGTTCAGGAGTGCGATGGGATACATGGACTTTTGATTGTGATAATGTAAAACTTCCATTGCATGTGACTCACATTTTTCCAAGCTTCCTCTTCTTTTTTTTATTCTAAAATGAACACTCATTGATAAGCTTATTTAGTTAAAGCTAATCTTTTTTTACACAGATATCCAAAAACCTTTCAAAGACTTTAGGTGAAGGATTCGACACTCTGCTGGGTTTTACTCCAATCCGGAGCTCCAATAGATAGATTTCCTCTCACTTACTGACAAGATGACAGTGGGTTCACCAGACAGGAAATGAGGGGAAATTGGCAACAGCAACACAGTCAGAAATATATATATTTTAGAGTAAGGCTGAAACCACTATCAGCTTTTTATTGCTGTCTGTGTGGCTCTTGCAGATTTTCTTCCCTCTCTGTCTGGTGAAACTGTTGTCACTGACAGTAAGTGAAGAGAAAAACTCTATCGGAGCTCTGGAGAGCAGTAATAAAACTAACAGGGGTTCTAATCATTTCCCACTCTATTCGAAACTGTGCTGGACGCCTGCTTTTTTGTTGCCAGTGTCCTTTTCTCCTGTAGGAAGCAGTATAACCCGACAATCTAAGAATTCCTATGTCCATCAATGGACAATAAAGACAAACAATTTGACTGGACATACAGTTTAGGGCATGCCAATGGGGTATGTTGCTGCTGGTGACCTCAGGCAATTGTCCTATTGGCTTTACCTTATAGATGGACTTGCTTGTGGTTTTTAGAAGAGATAATAAGTAGTATCTGTCTAACGTTCTATAGTTTAGCATTGGCCACAACAGATAGCCTCAGGACACCACTGTCAGGAAGACATAAGATATGACAATTCTTTATCATAGGATAAAAGTGTGTATAACTATAAAAGAGTCCCTCTTATAGTAAAATGGTCCAAATCTCTGTCAGAGGAAGTGGAGGTTTGTGGGAAAATTAAAGTAGTGTTTAAGATTGTATAGGTTAAAGTGACACAATTATTTAATTATATCACTTTAACCTATGATGTAAGTGATACAAATTAATTCACCTCTGTATTCAATAATATATCATTAAGTGTATGTTTAGATTCAAGCAGTGTAAGTACCTGAATTTGTCTTGGTATCAGTCACTTGAAGTCCCTGTCCAGTAAAGCTCAGATGGAGAAGCAGCACAAGGAGCCAATCAGTGGTGTTGCAGTCCAAAGAGGATGCTGAGAGGAGGAGAAAGCAGTGACATAGAGATGAACTTATCAGTCTGCTGCTTCTCCTTTCACTGTCCAGTCTTAGGGTACAAAGAGGAGGAGGCCTTTAATGTTAATGAAACATTTATCTTGCCTGTCAGGCAAGGTTGTGCTGAGTGTGACAGAGCTGCGTAAATCACAACTGGATGGACAGAGATAGAAATCCTTTGGCAAGTACAACGCTTCCTTATGTGTATTTAGATGTTTGCCTGAAACTCAGCTTTAAAATGTTGAAAAGCATGCTTGAGATATAATAAAGAAACTGGTCTTAGTGCTTACTTCAATGGTAAGGTTCTTATTATACAGGTTACAAGGTAACTGTTTTAATGTTAATAGCTTGTAATGTAAAAACATTTTTTTTTCCTTTAGCGGCAAACTGGGGTTCCTCTGTGCAAGCTGGATCCTACAACATGGCTCTGTCCTACTGTGTGGGACTCAATCAAGTAGAAGAACATATTAAAAATTTCAGGTAACATAAAATCGGCGCGTCTGGTTGTGTATCCCACGCCCCGTGAGGAAAGGGACAGAAATTGTTATTTCACTTCTCTGTTATTTAAAATGTATCTAAACCCAAAAACCAAAACATGAATATAATAAAGCTTACCAGTCCTTAGATATGCTGGCTGCATTAGCTTTCTTTTTGCAAGCTTTGATTTCCTGATTTTCACTTCCTGTTTTTGCCAGTAACACCATTCCTCTCCTAGGATGATAACACTCACTCACCCTGCTGTATGAGGACAAAAAAAGGACTCGAAACCACTCCTGTCTCCATAACAAAGATGGACGCGTATCTGTAAAAAACAAGTCAAGGCAACTGGACTTGCTGTATTTTTCTTGAAGACGTTTCACTGGTCATCCAACCAGCTTTCTCCATTCAGAATAGGGAATGGGGGAATCCATTCTGAATTGAGAAAGCTGGTTGGATGACCAGTTGCCTTGACTTATTTTTTACAGATATACCATGACCTGGATAAATGAGAACCTTCACAGACAAAGAGGGACTTGGTTCTGGGATCCAAAAGTTATACAGCTCGCAAATTTCTGGAAAAATGAGCCAGTGTTTTATTGGACGTTTTAAACAAAACCCTTTCAATAGTGTATTTAACAAAGCAAAAGGGGCCAAATAAGAGAAGTTAACTGTTGGGGTTTATATGTACTTTAAACAATGATTACTGCAAGTGCAATGTATAGTAAATGTCTTAATTGAAAGTCTCCGTGTTATTCAGCACTTTAGTTAGAAGGCAAAGTGTGACTTTTTTCATCGGTTGTTCCCATTAATTTCTTTAGGACTACACTGTCATTAAAATATGTATTCAGAGTGGACGGCAAGCTGAAGTGGCTGAGAAAGATATACTGTAGCTGATACCCAATTCTGGTGGTAACTATTTATTAGACACATCAGGGGGAATTTATGAACACTGGAGCAGACGGAATCTTTATCAGCTTCTCTCTTTGTTCAGTTAAGCTTTGAAAATGAATGATAGAAGCTGATTGGTTGGCATGTCTGCTCCAGCATTGATAAATTCCCCTCATTATACTCAACCAAGTCTGAAATGTTTCCTCTGGCAGAATGGCTAACTGCATTATTTTGTAGGCCTTGGATTGGCGTTTTTTTAAAGTGACTCTCCTGGGAGAAGTATGGAGGCCTCTATAGCGTATGTTGTCATCCTTGTGAAAATGCATGGTAGCGTCTAACTCTAGTATGTTTTACCTGGAACAAGCACACTGTAAATGGGTGTTGGAACAAATCTCTTATATTTATTCTGGGTCAGTGACTCAGTCAGCATTGAAGTCAGAGAGTCAGAATACCAGCCAGGGAACTAGCATTCTCCAAGGATAGTCTAGTAATGGCAGCCTCTATTAATCTGTCATCTCAGTGTCGTTTTAAGTCAACGTGCATTTAAGTCAACCTGCCCCCAAAAGTCACTGTATGGGATTTCTCTCTGCTAATTGTTATTTTATTTTTATTTTTTTATTTGCCTAGGCCTCAGTGTTTAGTCCTGACTGGACCTCCCAATTTCCGACCGGCTCTTGTGGATTTTGTGGGGACTTTTACAAAAAAGCAAAGCCTAATGATGTGTGGAAATATAATTATTGTAAGTGTCACCGAGGCTTCTGAGCTTCACCAACTCCTACTGAGCTGAGCTGACCTTTACTGAATTGTTAAAATGATTGCCACAGGAAAAAACCTATACACAATAAAGTGAGGGAGATGAGAAAATGTATTTAGTTAAACCAATCACTATAAAAAGGTAACTTAGGTAATAATGTATTCCCAGAAAATGTTTGTACAAGTCATTCTGGATTGGGAAAGCTACTTGGATTTATTTTACAGATATACCATGACCTGGATGAATGAGAACCTTCACATGCATTATACTTTTATTGATGCACTGTGCCAATCTAAAGATGGAGGAACAACTTGCAACGGCCACCAGTGCTGCTACCATTCTAGGATCCCTAAGGCCGGGTTCACACCTAGGCGGCATCGTTTTTGCGCGTTTGTACACACGCGTTCAGCCTGCGGTTATTTGCACATTTTGACGCACGTTTGTACAAGCGTACATGCAGACGTGCCTTTAAACTGGCAGCTTAAGAAACATTACGGGCAATGGACGAATGCGTGTACAAAAACATGCAACATGCTTCTGCTGCGCGTTTTCGGGTGTTTCCATTCAAGTCTATGGGGCAAAAACACACTGTTAACCACCCCAAAGAAGCTCATGTACCTTTTTTGGCGTTTTTCTGCTCTGGTGTGAACTGGGGCCATTGAAAATCTTGGGATTTCTTGTGTTGGGCGGTTAAAATCGCCTTTGCTACTGCTCAACAACGTCTAGGTGTGAACCAGGCCTGAGAGATCCTAACACTACCAAAACTTTTCCCATGCACTCTTTTTCACCTCCACTATTTCCACCTCTCAAACATTTTGCAAACTAATACCTGTTGGTGGAGGCTTTTTTTAGAAGTGGGCTGTCCCTGCAGTTGATGTGTCCTGTCTTAATGGAGGAGGAACAGAGAAAGCACCAGTATTTAAAGTGATATTAAAGTCAAAAGGTTTTTAAGCTGTTTTGGAATGCTGATAATATCCCTTTCAATGGACGCTGCTCCTTGATTTTTTAAATTTTTTAGTTTCCTGCAGAATCAGCTGGTCCCCTAAGCACTGGCCCTGATATCCTGTTTTAGGAAGGCTCCTTTCCCTTGCAGGGTCCCATGAAGTGACTCTTGTGTGTGCTAGTAAGCTGTGTGTGTCTCCATAAACACAAAGACACAGCAAGGCAAACCAATCCCCTGCCCCCTTTCTCTCTCTTCCAAGCTGGCAGTGGACAGCTGATGGAGATTGTGCTGTCCCTTGTGATCTTGTACCAGATAGGAAGTTCAGGGAAGAAGAGCAGAGAGAGTTGGAGCCAGCTGTTGACTGTAAGTGCATGGGCAAAATTCTAAAGAAGTACTTTGCCGGCAGGCACACTACAGTCCGCCGCCGTCCAATCACGACGGGGCGGCCCAAGGCTCCGTAGTGTGCGGCCGCCAGCCAATCACGGCGCGGCGGGCCGCAACTCCTCCCCCCAGCTGTCAGATACTTCCTCCGGCGTCCTGTTAATGTGGAATGACGCCGGAGGAAGTAGCCGTCTACCTTGCTATCACACAGGGGCTTGTTATCTCCTGTGTGATAGCAATAAAGTTAGGTGGGGAAAAAAAATGACATTGATTTAAAAAAAAAAAAAATGTAAAAAAAATGTTAAATAAATAAAAAAATAAAAAAGGTGATTAAAAAGTAAGAAAATAATTATAAAAAATAAACAATAATAAGATAAAAACTATAAAAAAGTAAATTATAAAAAAGTAAAAAGATAAATAAAAAATTTTAAAAAATTAAATTGATTAAAAAATTAAATAAATAAAAATGTAAAAAAATAAGAAGAAATAATTGAATAAAAAAATAAAAAGTGATAAAAATAAAGAAACAGTCAAAAATTGAAACTAGCCCCGCCCCAAGGCCAGGTTACGATACAATACAATACGCCCCCCCCTGCCATCTGGTTGCCATTCTCAATTGATGGGGGGGGGTTGGCGACAGGGGGGCGTATTATGGAACCCGGCCTTGGGGCGGCAGGGAGAGTAAATCCGGCCCTGCTCCTAATCCTTGTTTTCTCTAGTAAGCCCTACATTGCAACCTGCCCAGATGTTAGTCTGCCGAACATAAGGGGAATAGACTAAATCCATGGCAAGGGATCCAGCTTTACTCCCTACTAATCCTTTGTGGAGGGATTATATTTGATGCCAACAGCCCTGTGTAGACATTGTAGTGGGTGTCTCATGTCTCCCTGTATAAGTTAACAAGCTGCAAACTATCCAGTTAAAATTCTGGGCTCTGGATCAGGCATGTAAAAAGCTTTTACTGCATGTGCCCTTCGAGCCTTTTCAAAGCTGCCTTGGGTTCCCTCGTCAAGGATGTTCCTGGTATATATGTACCAAAATGTGCCAAGCTGTAAACATGCGTTTACCTAAACTACCTTGAAACTCGTGACCGCTAAAATGGCATAAAACATCTGGGTCTGAAACTGAGATGTCTGATTTACAACCGGAATGAGAGGACACACGATCATCAGATTTAAGGACAAGTCGGTTGTAGTACCCGTGGATGGGGGTGTCCCACCCATATATAAAGGGACTATGGTAGCGCACTGAGACCTTCTATCTGGATCTCAAACTGAGGTGAACCTCTCCACTGTTGAGTCTGTGTTTGCATTGAGGTTGTGGAGGATTGATAAAAAAACCACACTGAATATTAACCGTTTAAGCACTTGTTTATGATTAGACACTGGATTGTTTCTCATTTTGTTGCGCATTTTTATAGAACACTATTTGTGACACATTGAATTATAATACACTGCTGATGCAGAGGTCAACCCCTTGGTGCGTTGGTATATATGCACATTATGCTGTACATGGTTCACAAATTGGAGAATTGATGTTTTATATGTGTTGTTTGTTACATGATTTTTATATTCACACGTTTCCTTGTTATTGTATTTTATTTTAGCGGTCACTAGAGCTTTAAGGCAGTTTAGGTAAACGCATGTTTATCGGTCGGCACATTTCTGTATATACACTATATATATATTTATAAAAATAATTTCAATTATTTATAAATAGTATACTGAATAGCTGATTTTTGAACATTTTTGGTAGATAGTTTTGGTAGAGTTATTATCAAGGCTATTACTGGCGGTAAGTGTACTCATCTTCCCCAGTTGAGTTCAAAAATCCGATTGCCACATTATACTAACCCAGGCTGGGACAAAAAACAACATCTGTGTAAAAAACCTGATCCTGGCTAAGGACATTTACATGTCTAGTAATGTAATGTATAATGCCTGTAAGTTTGTGTTTAAAGTTGCCTATACACCTGACGATTATCGTATGATAATCACGATAATCTTAAGGTGTATGGGCAGCGTGCGACCGCATTTACTGTGCTTTTCGTATAATGAGCACACTAGAAAAGCGTGATCGCAAGACGAAAGCCGAACGGCCAGAGGTCCGCAAGCGCACACTGCACGCTCACCATTGCAATCATCTGCAAGTCCTCCTCTCAGCGCGGAGGACTTGCGATGATCACGAGTACGATCTGCCTGTCCAAGGTGGGCAGGTCATACGAACTTTTAATCACCTTACAACCATCGCACAACGAAAATCGTGCGATGGTTGTAAGGTGTATGGCCGCCTTTACATTTGAATTGGTTTTTCAGCCAACGGGGTATGTTCCAGGTTTAATAACAAGCCCTATTTTTTGTGTTTGCAGTGGAACGGAACGCTGGCAAAGTTTTGCCAGGCGTCCGATCGCACTGCGGGCGTGGAAGCGGTGCCATTGAAAACAATGCACCGCCACGCCCCCTCCCGCCCCAAAACGCAAGGGGAAGTTTCTCAGTGACCGCGGTGCGTTCCAGCAGCTACGGCTCTGGAACACACACGCTTTCGGTGTGAACAAGGCCTCAGGGAATATGAAAGGCTAGAAAACACAGAACTCTACCTTAGAATCTTAAATATCACTAATTGGACAAACGTATTTTGTGGTTTTCTCTGTTCAGGTCTTCCTTCTATGTCCTGTATGTGTCACTGTGACTGCACCAAAATATAGGCAAAATGATCCATACTTCAAATGTAAAACCTACAAAATACTATTTTTATTAACACAATGACAAAAAAGATAATGTGATATATTCTGCGGTCTAATTACTGCTAAAAAAGAAAAAATGATTCTCTATATGTTCTTTGCAAAGGGGCCACGAAAACAGAAACTCCAGGAACTGAACCCAGAAGGTCACATCAAGTGGTTGAACAAGAGAAAAATTCGAGCCTTTTATACAGGTCTGATTGCTGAAGATCTGCGCAGTGGAGCTCAAATGCTGATCCAGGTAAAGCTTACATGTGTAACTATAAAAGGCAGGCTTAAAGAATTAGATTTGAAAGTTGTTTCTAGTGATTCCAACTTAAAATGGGCTTCATACAGATCCCACCAAAAAAAAGGGTTCCCCAATTTTCGCTCCCCTTTATTAGAAACATTGCAAACCATTCTGGTGCTCAGCCTGCATTAGTGCTCAGTAATACACCCAACACTTCTTCCTAACAGGATGCCAGAGTTTCCTCTAAGATCAACTTAAAGCGACTCAGGATCTTAAAAATACATTCAAGTACCTTAACTGTTGACAATTCTGTATCTTATTTGTGTATCACTCGGCTGTAGATCCTCAAATCATCTCTGAATTGGTGCTGACACTGTCCTTCCTTCTGGAGGGTGGCTACTTTTGTTCCCCATGGTCCCTGTGTGTGTTGTAAAGTAGACACCGCTCCAAGCTCACTCCTGTGATGGACTACAATCTCATGTTCAGTTTACTAATTTGCATTGAGATTGTAGTCCATCACGGGAGCGAGTTTGGAGAGCTCCACCCTGGAGTCAGTGGAGGCCAGTGCAGCAGGGAGCTGCGGGGTTTGAATGTAGGTGGATACGGGGGGTCTGGGTCAGAAAGTTGGAACAGTAGAAAGGCATCATGGCACACTCACAAACTAGCATGTAAAACAACTTGTCTCACCACTAAGGACAATGACAGAGGTTTGGATACACGTCTTCTGCAAAGGATGTGTAAGCCGCACTGCCGCGCCAAGGCACCTCTTATAGTGCGGTCCTAACTCTAAACTATGAGAGTCTCCATCTTGGAGCACATGGGGCAGAAGATATCAAATTGGGTGCAGGCTTGTCAGGAGGACGCCCCACCTCCTTAAAGGTACAGAAACACACAAGGGATCCCGCACATCCCATTGGCAGCTGAGAAACCCCATGCGTCGCTGCACCAAATCGGTAAAGCAGGGTCAGAAAGTTGGGGGACAGGTGATGGAGGCAGGAGGGTTGTGCAAAATCTTGCCCAGGGCCCACTTAATATTGAAGACGGCCCTGGCTGGCATGGTGTCATATGTCAATTCTTTGTGCTCTTTTCTTTTATGTAGGCAGCTGGGTTAGGTCACATGAAACCGAATGTCCTGTTTTTGGGATATAAGAAGAACTGGCATACATCTCACCCAAGAAACGTGGAAAGCTATGTGGCAATGCTTCAGTATGTGTCTTTGGATGATTATAATGTTTGGGGTTCATGTTATAGCATTATTGGGGTTTGTTCATGATATAATACAAAACACAAGGCTCTATTTCATTCATTTTCTGCAGTAAAACGTATATACGATAAATTTTAACTGTATAATAAAGCCAAGCTTCAGGTAAGATTATGTATTTTTTTATTTTGGTTAGAGTGTAGAGGGTTAGAACCTCAGTCAGGTTTTCATTGCTGCCTATGATCCATTTGGATCTATGATGGATTTGTGATGCATATCCTGGTCAGTGGGAGTGGGGAGATTTCCTCAACATGGACGGCAATAAAAACCTGATAGAGGGTCTGTCATTTTTTTTTACTATGCCCTTGTTGGAGAGATTTTTCTCACTTCCTTTGTTGTCACCGAGATAGAAAGTAAGGATAAAACTCCCCAATGGTTATACAAACAGCAGTAAAAGCTCAGCAGAGATTCTAACTCTTCCCTACTCGGTCCAAAACTGATTTTTTAAAATTAAACTGGTTGGAAATGTAGCATTTTAAATGAAGACTATAGTAACATTTTAGGTGTAGCACAAATTCATTCATATTTTGGGTCAGTGGTGGCTGTATTCTGCTGGGAAGAATAACCCGGTCTATTTACCCCGGTGACCTTCGTCATCAGGAGATAAAGTGATGGGAAATCCACAATTTTGCAGCTGTCACCAGGAGATGATTGCCCCTCACTTTGGAGAGATCTCCTCTCACTTCCTGTTCTTTTTACAGGACAGGAAATGAAGGGAAGTATTCCCAAAAGGACACAGACTGAAAAAATAAAACTCACAGGGGTTCTAACTAGGGATATACCGATACTAGTAACGGTATCAGTGTCGATACCGAGTATTTGGGCAAGTACTCATACTCGTCCAAATGCTCTGATACTTACCTCCGATATCGGAAATTCCGGTTAGACGGAGATTTCCTCTGGCCGCCAGTGCCGTGAGGGAACATGGAGCCAGCTTCCTGGCGCATCAAGAAACCGGGCCGCGAGTAATGACTCGCAGCTTGGCTTCCCTGATTGGCTAGGAAGCCAGCTCAACGCTGTTTGGCCGTCTTGATGCTGATTGGTCGGGAACCCAGCTTCCCAGCCAATCGGCAGTGAGCCGGCCAAACAGCATGGAGTCGGCTTCCCGGCAAATCAGGAAGATCTGTCGCGTGTAATGGCCCGCCTCATGATTGGCTGGGAAGCTAGCTCGATGCTGATTGGCTGGGAAGCATGCCAAAAAGCATGGAGCCGGCTTCCCAGCCAATCAGGACGCAGGGTCAGTGCTGATCGGCTGGAAAGCCGCCTTTCCGGCCAAACAGCATGGAGTCAGCTTCCCAGGCAACCAGGAAGCTGGGTGGCAGGTAATGACATGGTGCCCAGCTTCCTGATTGCCCGGGAAGCTGGCTACATGCTACTAGAAGTACTGGTATCAGTACTCTGTATTGCCGAGTCCCGAAATATAAATATCGCTCTAACCATTCAAATAGTTTAGAAAGTTTTGGCTAGAGATGCACTATAATGGGGTAGTTGAAAAAAAAAATGAAAAGGTAAACTAACTCACAGTACCCCTCACTGTACTTAGGTGCGTAGATGACATATTCCTGCCACCCATGCCAACCTGGAGGCTGTGTAGTATTATATTGCTGACAATGGTGAGCAGTTATTGGTCAGCAAAGTCACATGATAACACTGACTAATAAGATCTCTGATTTCTTTCTGAATGCTGTCCTGGAAGAAAGAAGGCTTAAAAGATATTCTCAATGCTGTAGTGACGTAGCTGCACCAACTAATTTAGCCACTCGTCAATGTTAGAATTATGATGCTACACAGTCATTGGGGCTGTTTAATGATGTTTTGAAGTGTGTGGCCCATTACTCTGGTGGGAGTATGTCATCTAAGCAGCTAAATGCAGCGGGGGCCCAAAAAAATGTCTCCACTTTCTAAACTAACACAGGTCAATGTACGTCATTTTTGGTCCACTGACAATGACCAATTTGGAGTGGCACCAGTATGACTGCGAAGCTTAGGGCACGGCAGGCAGTTTTATGTAATTTCATTTGTGAAATCTAGCACAAGTAACCCTGCTGTCTTCTCATTGCAGCGATGCATTTGACTTTAACTTCGGGTTGTGTGTGCTGAGGATGAAAGATGGTCTAAACATGTCTCGTGTCATGCAGGCTCACAGTAAGTGTCCGGAGACATCCCTGTTTCCCTTCTTGATATTCACATATGAATACCTCCTGCTGTAAAATGATTGCAAAGACGTGTGCTGTGTATTATACATCTTATTGTTCTCCGCAGTCAATCCTGTGTTTCAACAAATGGAGGAACCAAAACTGAAAGAAGGGGAGAAGGGAGATAACTGCATGGCCCAAGGGACATGTGAGTTAGTGACATGTAAAACTTGATTGTACTTTAAAAATGGAGACAAAACCTTCATGATCTGTATGATCTCCAATAAAGCAATGTCATTCATTCCCGGAGTCTGCTGCTGTGCGCAGATACTTAGTATTGTAAAGGAAACCTGTTATGGCTACAGACATTAAAGTATTTACATATTGTGTACAAGCAGTAAATCATCTTAAAACAAGCCATCCCTGACCTCTCTAGCTGTTTGTACTGTGAAGTAATTGCTTTTCAAAAATCCTCAAAGATCAAAACACAGACTAAAAGTTTTACTAACTAAAGTTGGTTTCAGTCTGTTTCTAACAGTTCACACCATATCCAGTGCAATCCGGCATGGTTCGTGCCTGGAACACACTGGGTCGCATAAACGAAGCCTCCCACTTTTTGGGGCGGCAGGGGTTTCACACCTGTCACGTCTATGTTATTATTAATCATCATACATAGAGTGATGCATTGGTTGAATTTGATTTTTGAGTGTAAAGGTCTGCTTTAAGGTCCCTTCTCTAAGATAAAATGTTGCAAGTTGCAATTATTATTGTAAAGTTAAGTGCAATGTGCTATAATCTGAGAGCTAGAGAGACACTGGCATTAAAGATAAAGGGTTTAAAAAGAAATATGAACTTGCACATTCAGGGCAAAGTGACAGTGTGGGTATAAAGTCCATCCCTATTGCATATAGAAGTCATATTTAGTGAATTTAATAGCTCCCCATTTGATAACAACTTTTCCATTATAGTTATGTGCAGCAGTGAATATAGTATATAGCAGTGAACATAGTAAATCTGATAGCAATAAATAATATAATTAAGCTTGGCCAACCAATATCAAGTAAACATTTGTCCCATAAGACAGGAATTCAATGTATGTACACAAACGCGAGAAGTCTAATAGACAGTTCCTTTAATTTAAGGTTTGCAAAGCCACCATCTTTACTCCAAAACTACTGTCCTTATCATAGCAAATCCATCCTCTTCTCTTGTCAACCTGAACATGAAACCACTATGGCCTCATACAAAGCTGTATAAGCATCTATGTTCTGAATTTAAAATGCTGATGCATACAATAAATTTTTTGCAGTGGATCCCGAGGCTGTCACTGCTGAACAACAAGCAAGCACAATCTTCCAGGTTAACCAGGGAAAGAAGACCGTTGATATATACTGGTTGTTTGATGATGGAGGTTAGTATTGCCAATCGAGTTTCCATGATGTTGCTGTCTATTCCCCCAAGTCCTTGGCACTGTAATATCCTCTGTCCTCCTCTCTCTTCTTGCCCCCATTTAGAAAAGCTTGTATGTTCAGTAGAGCCAAACATACAAGTAATGGAAACTCTCTGCCGATACTTTAAACTGAGGGCTGTGAGATGTTGACTGTACATCTAAGCAATGCAAAAATTCCCCAGCATACACTTGAGCCAGTCATCACAAAAAGCTATAGACTATACTAGGATGCACCGATATATCGGCCGAAAATTGCACTTTTGGCTAAATCCCGAAAGTGCAGTTTTTCTGTTCACTCTGCAAACATCTTAGTTTAGGATTCACACCGCATTATGGCCACTAGATGCTCCTAAGCTTCATCTAATGGCCATAATGTAGTGGGAATCTTAAAGGAGAACCGACGTCTAACAATGAAACCGTCACACGTCGTTTCTATAGATCGGGAAGTGAGCGAACACATACCGTCGCTTACTATCCGATCATCTCCCTGCAGAGAGCGGTGACTGCCAGTCACGGCTCCCCGCAGGGATTCCCCCCCCTTCCCCTCCCCCTCCCTGATCCCTCAGTGCTGACTGGAGGAACGGACGGGGAGGGGGCAGGCACAGCTGGTTCTGCCTCTAGATAGGCAGAGCCAGCTGTCATTCACGCAGCTGGGTGCATCTCGACAGTAATGTCGGGATCCATCCCGGCTGCGGTGCTCTCAGTATACCGTGAGCTGTGGCTCGCGATATACTGATCTTTGGGTCATGGCAGGAGGATAGTATATGTCTCCCGTGACCCTTAAGAGAATTATGGGGAAAAACACTTACCGCATAGATCTCTTTTAAACGTCGATGTTCACAGATCAGTGAATCATTTATAAATGCATCCCTTTAGACTTTCTATACACTTTAACAGCAGCAGAGAAAAATGAGGTCAGTCTAGCGGTTTGCCTGGAGTTCAACTTTCAATTTTATTTTAAGAGAAAATAGTCTGCGAGTTTGGTGATGAACACAATCTCTAATAATATAGCAAGGAAAATGCAGTTTCATTAAATCTAAAGAGAAATAAGATTGACGCAGTAAAATATGAAGGTTTGTACATGAGAATACATTGAGAGGAGCAGCTGTGCATGGCAGCCAAACAACCTCTCTCTCTTCGGTTTGTTCAGTTAAGATTTGAAAATGAAAGAGAGAAGCTGATTGGTTGCCGTGTACAACTGCTCCAGATTTTGTCTGCTTCAATTTTGATAAATTCCCCACATTATGTCTGGGCAAACAGGAAGTGTGTCACAGTTCCTTGTACTTTGATCCTGCACCGGGTTTTGCATCCTGTCCGAGCTGCTCAGTTTCCTGTCAGTCCGCCCTGAACCTAGGTGTTATAAGGCTTGTGCGCCTGTGCTTTAGCGTTCAAGCAACGTGTCTCCACGCTAGTAGCCGGACCTCTCTGTTTTCTGTGGTATTGCCGCTTGAGTATACCTTGCATTTTGTGTCTTTGTTTGCTCTTGTTGGTTTCCCTTCCTGCTGCGCTCTTTCATTCCCTCTGTTGTCTGTCCGTGTATCTCTTTGTTTGCTGTGGCTGTGCGTTCCCTCCACAGCATTGCCCCCTGCTCTGTTTGTGGTTGCCTCCTGCTTCCCGTGGTTTGTGTGCTCTGCACTATTGTGCACCTCCCTCCTTTCTCTTGTGCGTTCCCCTCTGCTGTTCCTGTTTATCTCTTGTCTCTGTGGGTACACCTGTGGTGTCTTCCCTTCTGTTACCTGCTCCCTGTGCCACGCATGTTCCCTGCGTCTTCCCTCTAGTGCCTGTTTTCTGTATCTTGTATCCTGTATGCACCCTGTGTCTTGTCCAGTGTGCTGTGGTCCCTGAGTACCCGCTGGCACTGTACCTGCACGGGTGTGTCAGAGAGCCGCAACCTGGAAGCTGCCCCGCAGCTCAACATCCACACCATCAGTGGCTCTGGGGAAGACCAGTTGGCTCCTTAGATCCTGCGACTCTGGCACACCTGCGTTTGTTGTGCGGTCACACTGTCCCTACATCTTCAGAGACCTGCATCCCTACCCATTCCTAATTCAGTCCCTATATACTGCTCCCCAAGACCCAGAGTTTACGATTCCTGGTGCTTCAGTGCCCTAATCGTGACAAAGTGCACAGTGACATTAAGGCGGCCACTCTATGGCACTAATTATGTAGCACTGTATGAGCTGATGACGTGAGCCTCTCCAGGCAGAAGAGACACTGACAAACATTTCAAGGTGCCCTCTGTTGGATCACAGGACTTTCTTAAATGAAAGCATTTCATAAATTAGTTTTAGCTAATAGGGGGAGTTGTTACAATATATTTCTATATAAATACATATTTAACATATACAATAATATTAGTAGACAGTTGTCCTTGTTCAGCTGCAGCTTTCAGTAACATTCATTGAAAGCAGTTACTGAAGTCACATTACAGTCTCATTTATTTGTCAGGTCTAACGCTGCTTATCCCCTACCTACTGAGCCGCAAGAAGAGATGGGCAAATGTCAAAATTCGAGTATTTGTGGGAGGACAGATCAACAGGATGGATGAAGAGCGCAAAGCGTAAGATTGTTTGTATGCCGTGCTATTATTGCCAGGGCAACACAACACTTATATTATATACACTGTGGTGAAAGGAATATGTTTGTTCTGTAGAGGTCGTAGCTTTAATGTATTGTCCTAACCTATGATCTCTTGTATTACAGGATGATTGCTTTGCTCAGTAAGTTCAGAATTGTGTTCCATGAAGTGCATGTTCTGCCAGATATCAACCAGAAGCCTCGGCCAGAGCAGTAAGAACACTATGAATATACATTGTACAGGGTCAGTGATGATGAAGTTGGAATTAGGAGAGTCTTGTTCTTCACTCCCCCTGGCGCTTGGGTCAGATGTCACTAGAAACATCCAGAGTGGGGAAAATCTCAATAGAATAATGTACAGTTCTGTGAAGTAAAATTATATTATTAAAGTATTGGGACACCCCTCCAAATCATTAGAGTCAGGTATCCCAATCACCTCCATAGCCACAGGTGTATAAAATCACGCACCTCGGCATGCAGACGCTTCTACAGACATTTGTGACAGAATGGGTCGCTCTCAGGAGCTCAGTGACTTCAAGCCTGGTGCCGTGATAGGTTGCCACCTGTGCAATAAGTCCATCCGTGAAATTTCCTTGCTACTAAATATTCCACGGTCACCTGTTAGTGGTATTATAACAAAGTGGAAGCAACTAGGAACAACAACTCAGCCACAAAGTAAAATGACAGAGCGGGGTGAGCGCATGCTGAAGCGCACAGTGTGCAGAAGTCGCCAACTGTCTGCAGAGTCAATAGCTACAGACCTCCAAACTTTGTGTGGCCTTCAGATTGGCACAACAACAGTGCGCAGAGAGCTACATGGAATGGGTTTCCATGGCCGAGCAGCTTCATCCAAGCCTTACATCACCAAGTGCAATGCAAAGCGTCAGATGCAATCTCTTGGTATAATTTAAGTATAACTAAACCATCTATACTGCAGCCAGGAGATGGAAACGTATAATAAAAACATTTGTTTTTTCCTAAATATTAAAAAGGATATTGGGGGAAATGTATCAAAACTGGAGCAGATTTGCACTGCAATCATTCAGTTTCTCTGTCTCATTTTCAAATCTTACCTGAGCAAACTTAAGAGAGATGCTGATTGGTTGTCATGGGCAACTGCTCCAGATTCTGTCTGCTCCAGTTTTGATAAATTCCCCGCCAATGTGTCTGTATATGGCAGGGGAGATGGGATATGGTTTTGTATAGTATATTGGCTTCTTTTAGTTCCTACTTGTTCTATGTTTTGTATTGATACTTTTAAACTTTGAATATATAAATATAATCTTTAAAAAGTATAAAGTGATCATAGCACCATGCATGGTGTCCATGTCCCACATTCCTTGTGTCATCACTGTAAATTGTGGTCATTAGGTGGGGCAGTGCCTTTTCCTGCTTCTCCAGCCTTTGGCTATCGCAGTGGCCCTGGGGCACGCCTCTGAGTTCTGACCCTGTCGGTTCGTGGTACACGTGGCATTTCGAGGGTGATAATGCTGCTCCTACTCAACCCAATACAGGAGGTGCTACAGCAGTGGTAACTGGCAGGATCAGAAGGTTGAAAGAAGAAATAGAAGTACATGAAAGCAAATACATAAACTGGAACGAGTGCAATCGTAATGAACATTTGTAGTACTTTTAAAATTAGGGACCAAATGCTTTTTAAAGTTGAAATCAGACAGTGCCCCCTCTGAGGACTGCTAGGAAGGAGGAGGATGTGGCACTTCCAGCACTATCACTCTGGTGATCTTAACCAACAGGCCACACAGACTGGAGATGGAGCAGACTCAGGCCTGGTTCACACCTGGGCGTTTTACAGCGTGTTCCTACGCTCTGTAAAACGCTCAACATGTGAAAACCAATGATTGCCTATGGGCACGGTTCCCACCTGGGCGTTTTACAGCGCGTAGGAACGCACTGCAAAACGCCCTACGCCCAAAAAAGTACAGGAGCTTTTTTGGGGCGTATTTGCCGCGCGTATCCATTGGGATACAGCCAGGTAGCCCTCGGCAACGCGCGTTTGTCGCAAGGTTTTTTTTACCGCGAAACACGGTAAAAACACGCGGCACGCAACAAACGCGCATATTCGATACGCCTAGGTGTGAACCCAGCCTAAAGAAGAACTGTCATCCAGCTTAAGCCATGCAGTCACATAACTGAGGGAGGGTGGCTGGTGTTGATCTTTGTATTCTGGAGCATGGGGCATTACTCTAATGTTATGTTCTTACCAATAGTGTGAAGCGTTTTGAAGATCTCATTGCTCCTTACATGCTGAATGATGGCTTTAAGGAAGAGCTCATAGTAAATGAGATGAAGCGTGAGTGTCCCTGGAAGATCTCCGATGATGAAATCAAGAAGAACAGGGCCAAGGTCTGTAGAAAAAAATATATATTTGTTGTATAAAAATGCTTAACTACCTCCCGGCCAGCCGTTGTGTATACACGGCCGGCCGGGAGCTTCTTGGATGTAACTGGGCGGGAAATCCCCGCTATTTGAAAACAGGCAGCGATGCCAGTTAATATAGAGCCGGCGGATCGCTTGTATGAGGCCCCGAGACGTGCGCCCCCCCTCCCCTACATACACGCATGTAAACATGCGTCAGGTGTGCATGCCTGCGAAAACGACGATTGCGCCCATTACGCCGCACATGTTACATATCGCCGCGAACGTCGGAATGAGAGCGATAGTTCTAGGGCCATCAATCACTGATAACACTAAACTGATGAGCAGTAAAAGCTTTTAAAGCGTCGCCTATGGCCAATTTTGGGTATGCTAGTTTTTTGCGGTTTCGCGGGTGCGCGCAATTTTTAAGCTTGACATGTTTGGTGTCTATTTACCCGACGTGACCCCATCTTTTATATTTTACCAAAAAAGTGGGTAATATTAGTTGTTTTATAACATAATGTAAAAAAAATTTCAGTAATTTCTCCTGAATATAGTAAAAAATAAAACCCGCAGTGGTGATTTAAATACCACCAAAAGAAAGCTCTATGTGTCCCCAAAAACTTGTATGAAATTCATTTCAGTACAGCGTTGCATGACAGGAATAAACTTCAGTCAAAGTATCGCAGCGCTGAACACTGAAAAATGGCCTGGCCAGGAAGGGGGTCTAAACACCTGGTCTTCAAGTGGTTAAAGTGAACTTAAACTCAAAAATTAAAGATCTGCAAAAATAATAATAATAATATATATACCCTGAAAAATACTGTATAAAAAAGCAATGCGCTTTCTGGTATGTGAGAGTGCATATTACTTCTGTGTCCACAGGGTCATAGATGTATATCTGCAGTGAGAGCACTCACTGCTGCCTCTCATTACTAGGCTCAGAAGATTTGGAATGAGATTTAGTGAGGTCACTACTGGGCTGTTCACTGTTCTCGTTCCTGGAGACTCTGACATGAGGAAGCAAAGCCCTGCATCCAGGGTCGGATTTACTCTCTCTGCTGCCCCAAGGCCGGGTTCCTCAATGTGCCCCCCTCCCCGCCAAACAACGAGTGCAGCTCTCCCCTCTCACTGTTTACATGGAGCAGAGCAGAGAGACGCGCGGGGGAGGACGGAGCTGCAGTATTATTACAAGTGAATTTGGCGACATCGCTGAGATCACTTGCAAACGAACGAGTGGCTTCCCCGCTCCACATTTAGCCCTGCTTGCCCAAAGCAGGGCTAAATATAGAAAACTACACCCAGAACTGCATGTCCCGGGCGTCAGGAGATTCTACACCCCTCGGTGGCCTTGTGGGAAACCCGGCCCTGCCTGCATTTACCAAGATGGTCTCCTCCACACAGTGCAGAACAAGGCATGACAAGTCAGTAATGGTGTAAATCTGCAGGGAGCCCAGAGGCAATACTGGGGGCAAGGTCTCTGCAATCTGCCTGCTTTTTGGGGCACCATTTCCATGAGATGTGAGGATTTCATCCAAGCTGGTTTATATAGAGGGGGGAATAAAAAGAGAGTGTATGAACATGCATAGAAACCTTTGACTAACATACGTTTGTATAATATCTTTAGCAGTAATTCATTTTTATGTGTTCATGATCCATATCAATGATTAAGATTTATTTTCATGCGTTGTTTACTGATGCATCTTTTTTTTATATTTCTCTCTCTCCTCTTTAGTCTTTGAGACAAATCAGACTGAATGAGGTGCTGCTGGATTATTCTCGAGATGCTGCTCTTATTGTTGTGTGAGTATTGTCAATTGTGCTATTTTTATATTCCTGCAGTAGTGTAGCACTGAAAGGGCAGCCAGCGCAACATAAGTCTTTACAAAAATTGCTCTAGACATAACTGACAATCTATAAAATGTTGTCATGGACAGGAGAACAAGGCATAAAAGATGACACTTGGGACCGTGGTGGTGAGATGACTCGGAACTACAACTCTGTTTTCTGGTGGACAATTAATGTTAAACGGGTGGTAGCCTCAGAATGGGGGCAGTGTGTACATCTTCCATCAAAGCATCTCAGGCAGCTCATGGTCCAAGAATAAGCTGACTAAGCAGCAGCAGGATATTTGGAATCACAGAGCAGGCAAACATCAACCATAAATCATAGTCGGAACAGGGCTCAGGGTCACAAACGTAAAGTGTATTTAAAGTCAAAACATTTATTTTCTGTTCTTTGGACTCAGGAAGTGAGAGGATATCTCTCCAATGTAAGGAAAATCCCCACTTATAAATGTGTTTCCATTACAGAGTGCTATGGAGCCACCCTTGTGTGTATTAGTAAGTTGTGTGTGTCTCAACAAACACACAGGCTATAAGATAAAGATGACAGCTGCGCATGCATGCAAACGTCCCTATAGAACTGGACGGAAATATGCTGTGGCGCGAATGCGCGCACAAACGCCAGGAAGTGACACAACGGGCATTAAGGAAATTACCTATTTAAATGAGCCTGCCCTGCTCACTGTGCTGATGGTCTTTCAGCTGTATGTATTTGTTCCCGGTGCCCGTGATCCTGTTGAAGACTTTGCCTGTGACTCGGATTGTTTGGACTCCTCTTGATTGCTGCCTGCCCCTGACCTCGGCCTGTATCCTGGACTTGTTTATTGCCTCACTATTTTGTACCTTGCTGCCCGGCTGGCTCTGATCCTCGGCTATCCTTGACTCCATTCGTGCTTTCTGTATTGGCTGATCGGCTCCTGGAATTTGTGCCTGATCCCACCTGTGGCACTCTTGCTCCTTGCTGTCCTTTCACACCCTGTTCCCACCTCCAGGGGGTGTAGGGCACGAGAAGTAAGAGAAGCCTCCTCAACTTTCGGTCTGTCACCAGGTACATGATACAGGCACAGCAAGTCAAGCCACTCCCCTGTTCCTGGCTCCTTCCTCTTTCCTTCTCCAAGTTAACAGATGGATGGGTGCTGGAGATTGAGCTGTCACTTGTGATCTTGTACTGGACAGGACGTTCAGGGAATCAGAGCTGAGAGAGGTGGAGCCACCTGTTTAGAAACATGATAAATCTAAGTGCTTGAGCAAAAAAGTGCTTGATCCAGCTGACTTGGATTCATTATTGAAAAAAAGTTTGAGATTTGAATACTACTTTATTTTCTGCTGACATTAGTGGTCAGGACAATTACAGACTATAAATCTCCACAACAAGGACATAGGCAGCAACAAATCTCTGACCAATTCCAATCTAAAAGAAGTTTTGTGTTTAGTTACACTTGAGGAAAACCAGGGCTGGTCCTACTACGATAGCAGGCCTGGTCAGATAGGAGCACATACTGTATGTTGGAACAGGAGAAAGAATTTCTGCCAATCTGTGATTCTGATAACATATGTAGTGTGAGATAGGATTTGCAACTGAACCGGTGATTGCTATGGATGTTTGTGTAAACGTTCATGCATATGTGTCCCTTAGCCCATGAGAGGCCGGGACATTACTTTTCTAGTCTGTATTATTTAACTGTAGTCCTATAAAAATCAAACAAATGGCTTTTTTTTTTTTTGCAGAACAATGCCCATTGCCAGGAAGGGGAAATGCCCCAGTTCCCTGTATATGGCCTGGCTGGAAACATTGTCCCAAGACCTGAGACCACCCGTCCTACTAGTCAGAGGAAACCAGAATGATGTTCTGACAATGTACTGTCAATAAGAAGAGAACCAGAACCACTCTCCAAGTCCCAGCTTCAACCAGTGAAAGTGGATACAGATTCAGGAAGATGGAATTCCATTTATAAAACTCTCAGTTTCAGAGTGTAACAGTTTAGAAAAGTAATAGCTTTACAACGACATTGTAATGGACCAAACTAGCCAATGCAGAACCAGACACCCATTTACTGTATTGTAGGCTATGGGACTGACCACTGGATAAGTCTTTAGGTACCCATTGTAGGATAAGCTTTGTGTGTCATATATTCTTTAATATGGTTTGGGTTTATGTGCACCAGTCTTTCAAAAACTTGGCTCATTATGACACGTGTGTGTTACAGTGCAGTGTCTGATACCAGGTAAGGGTGAGCTCCTATTCTGAGGAGGTGGATAGATGTTTCTTGTGGGTCATCAGAGCTTCTGTTTAGTAATAGTCATAGATCTGTGAAAAAGGAGGATCTGTAAATCTGCAGATTGCACCACCTCTGAATGAATACATGCAATGTAACCAATGGCATATCAAAGCTGATACTGAGTCCAGCTTACACTAAGGGGTTTATTTAAAAACAAATTGCAGGGCCCTTAACCCTGCGAATATCTGTCAATGTTCATTTTAGGCAAATAATTCCAAAAACAAATGTTCACAATATATTTTTTCCAAGTTTGAATGTAGTGTGTTGTAATACAATATGGCCACTAGATGGAGCTTACTTATGTCCTATGCTCCTCAGCTCATTCTAGTGGCCAAAATGTATTATTACAACACACTGCATTCAAACTAGGAAACAAATATTCAATTTTGACATTATTCACCTAAACTAAGCATTCACAGATATTTGCAGGGCGAAGGAACCCCTAAATGTGCTATTGCTGATCCAGACAACTTAGCTAGGCCCTTACATTTTACATAGGTACACACATTTAGCTTTCCTATACTTGCATATGAATAGTCTGTATCTAGGAGAGAAGCAGGCATATATCATCTTTACCAACTTTGTCAGTTTCTGTTTAATAGCATAGTCACATGGATTATAGGCTATGCAGCAGCCATTGTAGGCAGGAGTAGAAGTGCTCTCCATAATCACAATGCGATTATACAGAACCAAACAAGCAGAGTCTGAGGAGGTCCGTCATTCACCCAATATGCAGATTTGTACTTGAAGTGGATCTATTATTGAAATTCTCACTTTCAAGTCAGAATTTCAATGACTGGTCCACTTTAATTATAGATGTGTAAAAAACATTAAATATGAGTAACAAACTATGTCTTCCCATAAGTTTTAAAAAACCCAGCAGCTACTGAGATCCCTCATGTAAACTAAAACATAGGCAAAGCTCACACAATCGCTGGTCACTAGTGTCATTGTGAATGCTTTATGCCATTAGAGACTGCAGGAAGTCTATCTTTTTCATCATGCAGATGCTATAAGGTAAACTTGCACTGAGATAGGAGATCACAAAGGCACAAATATTGTGCAGCACTGCTAAGCATCCAGCAATGCTCACATCTATAATGAACAAATATGGCTGCCTGCATTTAGAGATAAAACTACAAACTATGCAAAGATATTATTTTTATACATAAGCACATTGTTCAAATTCGGTGTATTCCAACTTTCTAACCAAAGGGACAGTTCACTACCCTTTAAACTTTAGGGGGACTGGACTGTGGGCAGTGGGAGTAGAAAATGCTTAGTATATGTTGTCAGTGGGGAGGAAGTGTCCTATCATTGGTGTCAGTGGAAAGAGCACTGTTCCATCATTGGTATCAGTAGGAAGAATACTGCCCTATCATTGGTATCTGTAGGAGGAATACTGCCCCATCATTGGTATCTGTAGGAGGAATACTGCCCCATCATTGGTATCAGTAGGAGGAATACTGCCCCATCATTGGTATCAGTAGGAGGAATACTGCCCCATCATTGGTACCAGTGGAAGGAATAGTGCCTCATTTTAGGCATCAGTGGAAGGAATAGTTCCCACATTGTTGGTGTCAGCGGAAGGAATAGTTCCCACATTGTTGGTGTCAGCAGAAGGAATAGTTCCCACATTGTTGGGGTCAATGGAAGGAATGGTGCCCCAAGGACTGAGTAAAGGCAAGTAAAGGGCAGCATTCAGCCCGCAGGCAGCAGTTTGGGGAGCACTGGTTAAGATTATGTACATTGAGATGGTCTCTTTCACGTGTATATATAATCAATAAATGCCATTATTAGGTAAGGGAACATGGCGCTTGGTTATCTGTGCTGTATGATACAGATATCAAAGGCTAAATCTCACTGTCCTTCAAAATCTTCAGTATAATACCGCCGCCTCCTAAGCTCTATGTATAATATAGATTTAAAACAAGATTTATATCACTTGTATTTATTCAAAGAATATGAAAATATACACTGCTCAGCCTGCAGAATGAGTGCAATAAGATCCCAGATTTCCATCCCAACAATTTCCCTCTAAGCTCTGCCCTCCTCCCAAGCCTGGATTCACACTGCTCATATTTAGGCTACGGTGTCTGCGGTGTCCATTTTTTTGGCCCAGCCTCATCCCTTTAGCAACCCAAAAACTGTTTAAGGAGCTCAGTAAAGTTTTTCAGGAGAGGAAAGAGTAAAAAAAAAAACATTTATAACCAAACTCACCCCCAACTAAAGCAGTAACACTTACTGCAAAGTCCCTGAACAGAGGCAACTTCCTGCCAAATGGATTGAAGTAAGCACTAATATGAAGACTTTGTTCTACTATATTTAATGTTTTCTTGACTAACAAATGAAAATTAATTTCACCAAAACGTTTGAGAAGACCTAATTAATGTTACTTTATATCATTGCTACAACTACAAATATTTGCAATCTTCCGAAGCTTGTCACCCAGATTTTTCTGGATTTCCATTGCTATACATAGAGAAGTTGTGGGGAAGCAGACAGGATGGAGTGACAGTGCCCCAAGTGTGGTATTCCTGTGACATTGGGGAGGGGAGCTCTTACTAAGTACCCAGCACAGCCCAGGAAAGAGGAACATCCACACTTCCTCAAAGCAGGATAGTTTGTTTTTAAGCCAATTCCATTTTGTTTTGGATAGCGCGTGGAAGGATTGCAGTCAGGATGAGATAGCAATCTGTGTCTCTGCTGGGGTGATTTGTCCTCACTTCCTATCAGAACTGGAAGCGATGGGAACTGTCTCCAATGGGGACACAATCATAAACAAAACACATTTTTGTGTTAGATTTGCTGACATTTGTTTTTTCCATCTGTGCTTTTCTGTTCCATTGACGATCGCATTGTCCATTTCTTGTATGTGTGTCACAAGGGCAGGAAGGGAAGGAAAATCTCCCCAGTGGGGTAGCAGATAGTAATAAAAAGTTGATAGAACCCCACTCCATGCTACAGTAAAAGACACATTTTGGCTGGAATAAGGCTATAACCAGACCTAGATATGGAGGTGTTCTGTAACTCAGCAGAAGGGCAGGATTTAAAATACCACTTGGGAATTTGGTGCAGCAGAGTTGTCAGCACAAAACTAGGAGATGACTGGATTTCTGGGACAAGCGACAGCTAGCTCTAGAGTTAGGGTTAAATGAGCTGAAATATAAATGTAATTCAGAATCACACATAGTGCTCATGGAAATGAACAGAAAGACCACTTACCTACATAAACAGTCATTTCATTCCTTATTTGTGGGCTGAACATGTACATACAGCACAGCTCCTGGATCCAATTCTGGGCAAAATCCTGCGTATGGCTGCACAGGCCATGGTGATGCATAAATGGGGCAGCTGAGGGAGGTAAGAAGAGACAATTGTCAAGTTATTCTTTACAAAAGTCAAAATGACACTGCGAGCAAAGGTTACATGCAAATCTCAACCTTTTCTGTACATAGTCCTGCCTCATGTGCATTCCTATTGGTTCTTTAATGCGATGGACAGCCTCACTGATCAATAGGGAAGCTGTGTGGTTGGGAGCATGGGACTACAGTGTAGATAATTGGGGCTCGGGATACCACAAGGCAGATCTAAACTGTAAGATTTATCTTACAGCAAATTGTGATTGTGACTGCAATGTCTGTCTTATATTGTAAAGCGCTGTGCAAACTGTTGGCGCTATATAAATCCTGTATAATAATAATCTTTATACTAACCTTTCATTAATAAATAGTTTGCTTGTTCCCTCAAGTTGCTTCATAGGTGCAGTTATTCTTCGAGATTCCATAGCCGGCTCTAGAACTTATCAATGTGCGCTTTCTGTGATTTTCATGTAAACACTTAAGTCAGTCTTATGTCCTTACTGTATACTTTTACTATTATGTACACGTGATCAACTGTAAAAGTACCTGAAAACAATAAAATGAACTATTTATGAATAAGATACTGAAGTCCGAGTGATTCCTGCACACAGAGCTGACAAATGTACATGTGAGTTGTGACATGAAATAAACTCTGCACATAAGGATCAATCCACAACTCAATCATTTTCATTTCATTTGTATACCTATACCCCTGTTTATATCGTAGCATATCGTGAACGCGAGTTAAATGTGCACAAAAGTGGTGCTTTGACGTGCTCACGAAACACGCATCAAACGCAGAACACGCTTGCGGTGCCATTACTAGTTAATTCCACCGGCATATGTCTTACGTCACTGGCAGCGGGCCCTTTTAAACACACTCCTGGTGGACTCTGTATACATGTGTAAAGCTGACTGTGGGCTTTACACTGGAAGTAATTCCGGTGTCTTCCAGAGAGCAGTGTAGTGTGCCCCCCTCCGCCCACCACCCTTGCCTGTGACGTACTACTTTCCTGCATTAGGGTGCGTCCACGGACCTATTGCAATCAACAGGGACATGCGCCAAATGCAGGAAACAGTCAAGCAAAACAAATGGCAAACGCACTCATCAACTCATAACCAGCTTTCAAGCAAGGGGCACATGGAAGGGCTTTATACAGTACAGCAAAATGTTTCCCAGTTGTACTAAATAAAGCCCTTCCATGTGCACTTTGCTGTAAAGCTGGTTATGAGTTGATGAGTGCGTTTGCCATTTTTTTGCTGGACTGATTTGGTGCAGTGACACATTG